AAAATGTTAGGATTTTTTCCTTCTCTTGATAGGTCAGTCACCGAAAAGATAAAAAAGGAAAGGAATAGAGCTTACATCACACGGTTTCTTCCACGGACTCAAGAGTTCAACACAGTGCATTCAATAATATACCTCTCCATAATATTATAATTGACCCTGGGATCAGAGTAATATAGTGAGCAATAAAAACATTACTTGTATAACTCATAACTCATCTATTGTGCCACTTAAAAATTAATTTTTCGTCCCCACACAATGAATGGATTGATTTATTTTAAAATTATTACTTTGTTAACAAATATATTCAAGTTCTGTGTTTATTGAGTTTTTATCAATTTTAACGTTGTGTTGCACATGACAATAGCCATTAGTTATTTGCCTTTTAGTTGAAACTGAACTGATTTATGTTTTTTAATGATATATTATTTGTAAATTTGGATATTATTGTTAAAAATAAAGTCAGTCATTGAAAAGCCATTCTCAGTTTCAATTAATTGCTATAATAATTTTATTCATTGTTTGTAACAATAGATGATAACTTTAATACACAATGTACCTTTAAGCAGTGGGGTTCTTCTTCTTTCTCATTGTCCTCGTGATCTGAACTGAAGATAAAAATCCCAGTTATCATTAGGCCTGCTCAGTCATTCCATTTGGTCAGGGATTTTAATTCATTATAATGAGCCACAAACTAATGCTGTCAGGTTTTATTTCTTGGTTATTGTCACAAGACTGACTGATAAATAGCCATTCTTTCTCAGCCGGGAAACTTGACTCCTTTCTACTCGATTTTGTTTCTGTAAGTGATGAACGCGGATCTGTAATCAATGATTACCTCTAGTTTTAAATAGCTCTTGTTTTTTCACTGTCATTAACACGTATGTCACTTGGTATTTTGTCTCAAGGCAAAAAGACTCACCCTACAGTGTCTACATCCTCTTCCCCATCACTGTTGTACTCTGTTAATATAATATCAGCATCAGGATCCTTCTGATTGGCCCTACCTAGGACCTCATCAATTTCATCAGCGATTTTATGTTCCATTGCTTGATCATTTTTTGAGTCAGTTGATGTTTCATCGCTGTGCTGAGAAAATGTGATGTGAGAAAAATATTATTCACTGCAGGGTATCTTGACACTATGGACTGCAGTGCAGGTTTTTTTTTAAGTGCTGAGTATTTCTTGCTTGTCAGCAACATCTTTGCTTTTAAAAGCAGAGGAAGAATGGGGAAATTAGAAACTGCAATCAATACGTTGGGCAGAAAGACATGCATTGGTTTGTCCCAACAATCTCTGTCAATCACCTGAAACTTTTGGGATACAGTGTAGTCTGGATGATGGAAAGCATCCAGGTAAATGCACACAGACTTAAATACCAACCTTTAAGATAGACAATGATTACATTTTTTAACTAGGTAAAATGGTGATCTCCACAAACTTTCAGATCATCATAGCACTGGTGCTTAAATGCAATTTTCATCGTCATTAATGCTTGAACTACATTATTATAAGACAATTCAAAGGACTGAGATGATCTGCACAATGATATATGGAAACCAGTACAAGGACAAAGAATGAAGTGGGGGATGGGGAAGTAGCCTACATTAAGTATCTTCACTGATTTGACTCATTCCAGCCAGAAAATGTTTCCACAGTAGGCTCTACATGTACCAAGACTTAACAATATAAATATGATCATTACTGTTACAAGAAATAATTATGGATTTAGTACTTTGCCCACTTTGAAAAAAAAATTCTTTATGCTATAACTCCAGAGCTTTCCTTAATAAGACATTACAGCTGAGCTCACTTGATGTTACAGGTCATTAAAGTGGAAAGCTAAAGGTGGCACTGTAAATTTTTGTGAGATGTTGTGGGCAAATCTTCAGTTGCTACAGCTGCTTTAAAACAACCCTGAAGGCTCCTAACTCTCTTATAAATAATTTAACCTGAAAAAAGATTGTGCTTAAAAAACACAGCCATGACCATGAATTTTTGAGACAAACAGATTGAAGCGAGGATAAAGTTCAACCATAGCATCTAAACAACTAGTTATCATTTCTTATATAACAGTACCTTTCTCTTCCCTTTGGTGGAAAATGCAGGCCTGACTTTATTCTTAATTTTCTGCAATTCAGCCCTTTGTTTTTTAATCCTGTCTTGTTCTTCCTGTTGATTTAATTGTGCAGCCTTCATTTATAACCTACCTAAAAAGCTTCTAAGAGTATGATAAAAATTTAATGTGACTGATAATTTCTGATAAAAAATCGTAATTTAACATGATTAATTTCAGAATCAATGGGATTACTAAACATTAACGTGAGGTAAATACATGAACTGGCAATCAAAAAAACAAAGGAATAAGTTGCAAATTTATTGGTCTAACATTACTTCACAAATACCTTTATTTTATCCTCTTGTTCTTGCCTTGCTTGTTTTTCAGCAAACTCTGTCACCCAGTCTGGTGTGGATGCTATGCATGAAGTCCATAATAAACAAAAAATTGTAATTTTCCTTGCCTTCTGATCAATATCCATCAATTCAATATGATTTGAGAAAACCTTGTCCTAGGGAAGGACTTTTCTTGTTTCAAACCCCATAGCACAACCCAAAAATGTTTTGCAGTCCGGTTGGCTCTAGAGACCACTCCTCCCTGAACATCTGCATAATTGCCTTCAACCAGCATGTGGACAGTCACTATTCCAACTAGTATTTTAAACAGTGTGATAAAAACTAAACCCATAGATGCATTATACATTTACTTACAGGAGTTTGCTTCTTTCTTTGCTGTAGCGTTCTCCCTAGAAAAAAAAAATAGGGTTTTAAATTAGTAATAACCAATAAGTGGGGGACAACGATCAAAGGTCAAAACACTTTAGCTCCAAAGCTGTGCTTTGCGTAGGTTTTAAGACAGTGTCAGAATGTCAAAACAGGTGTGATCAGATAACGAGGCTGGTAGAAATTCGAAACGCGTGTGATCAAATTACGCTCTGTTCATTCTTGTTGGAAGTCCAAACGAATGCTGGCTACATACATGTACATACAGTTGAATCCCGGTAACTCGAACCCTCTATAACTCGAACCTCCCGCTAACTCGAAGCAATTTACATAGCAACATTGAGATTAGGATTGCAGGCTCCTCTTGTCACCCGCAATTATTTCAGTCATGGTTAATTTCCTTTTGGATTGGCACTTATACTATCCTTTAACTGCTAAATAAGCTGACTGAGGGATCTATGGTGGTATTTTTCATCTAAATCTTTGTAAGATGTACTAGTGACATTTTCAGTGTGGTGATTACTACAACCACAGATCTTATAACATTACTACTTATTTCTATGGTTGGTTTTTACTGTTTTCCGCTGTCATTACAATACTATTGCCCTTTTTAGCCATGGAGAAGGGAAATGATAGATTAAAATTTGTATGAATATGTTGCTAAATAATGGGGTGCTTCTTGCAATTGCTCTAATTTCCAAAAGTCTTAAGCAATATTATTACTTTGAAGTAGGTGTCAGAGGTGATTCTAGCATGTGCCACTTAGATATATTAAAATTATTTCATAAGACTAAAAGTTAATTATTAAATTAATCAAGACAAAGTACCTACATGTAAAGTCAGCAGATTAAATTCAAAAAGATATTGGTATGCTATCAATCACTTCCTTTTTATGTGGAAGTATAACAATGTTTCATTCAGGGGGGCTTTCCATTTATTATCTACACCCTTCCCCCACCAAAGATGACTGTGATCCATACCCTCAGATTTTTGTCTGTGCCCTATGAATAATGAAATCCGAAAGGTTCATTTAGATACCTTTGAAAAATATGTCTGAAGGGTCCAAATTTTGTCGTCTTCTTTGAATAAAAAACTCGGATCCCCCTATATGAAAACCTGCCATTTTTGGGGTGAGGGGGTAAGGATAAAGAATAGAACGTCCCATTGTCTAATTTCGTCAAAAGTACCTTAATTTTTACCTTTGATCACCAGGTTTTCTTACATTCAGCAAAGCTTTGTCTAAGTCCTCCTGCCGCCTCTCCTCATAGTTCTTGAGCCATGTTAAGGCTCCACAAATCAAACTTAATGATTTCCCCTGCAAAGAACAAACCAGGTAGATAATGTAGGATGGCCGGGCCTATCCTTGACCTGAGCCACCGTTAAATTACACACTTTCTATTTTATAATTGTGGCGATCTGTACACAAATTTTACACGTTTGTGTTAAAGTTCGTTCACCTTCATATATAATCACCTACCGTTCCCGTCGGGCTTTCAAAAATTCCGACATTGCCATCCTCGAGCACGTGAAACAGTGTCGTCATGAAATGTTCTTGGATATCATATGGCGGGAAAGGAAAAGGGAAAAATATCATCGGATATTTTGCTGCTGATTCACGTCCAGGCAATCGACGTGATGCAGCTTGTTTCAGATCATAATTTACAATTCCTTTTTTCCTCTTTTCATCGTTTTGTAGCTTTTCCATTCCAAATCTCTGTTTAGCTTGCAAGATGGAAGAACGACAACTTGTTTTGGTTCCCAAACTTCGCGCGAAACTCACTTAGCCTCGCTTTGACACGAAGGGCTGACAATTTTTTCGCTCCGGGTAGTAGACAGCCATTAAAGCCATTTGTACAGTCTGGAGATTTAGATTTAGAGTGACACTTGCCCAGAAATACGAACACTTGTTTAAAGAAGCATTTTGAAAATGATATTTTGCTTTTGAATATTTCTTTGATGCCCATAATATACCGTAAAACGGCGAAAATTATTTAATCTGGGATATACCCATCCCTACCTTCTCCACCCTAGATGCAATAATGTCAAGCACTTCCTCAATTTTTTTGCTCAGCGAGCGAAAACTTCCAGTTTCCAGCAGTGTTGGATTTCGCGTTAAATTTTCATCCCTTCTAGCTTCTTGTAAGATGGTTTTAGGATGATTACACCTTCATAATCAAAAGGAAAATTACCAACAACGTTGTTTTACTCCCAAAGTTTTGGTTCAAGCTTCAAGTCTACATTGTATATGCAAATATGATGTGTGGTCGTTGTGGTCTAGGATTTGTCCCAGTAGCTTTGGCTCTTTTTTCTTTGGCAACGTTCGTAATAACGTATATCATCTCACGTCTTCGCAATGACACATCATGGTTCCCCGCCATAAGCGACACGGCCGATCATTCTCCCGAAAGCAATGTGTTTGGATTTCTTTTCAACATGTGCGCTGCTGTGGCTCTGTTGACAACGTTTATTCGTTATCTTCAACTTAGACACGATGCCGACTGGAATGAAAGAGACAGGCAGCTTCTCATAAAACTTAACAAAGTGGCCATGCTTTTTGGAGTTTTGTCGAGTCTTGGAGCGTGCATAGTGGCTAATTTTCAGGTACTTTTTGAGCAGCTCTTTCTCTCTAAGTTCAAGTTTGATCAAGTTTATTTTAGCTTGGTTCAATTTTTTATGGCTCAGTCAATTCGCAGCGTGCAGCCATAGTTAATTGAGTGGAATGGTTATGAAACCCGTCAGACTCCTTTGTTATATGTTTTTACTAGGCCCAGGTCCCAATTGTTCAAAAGGTGGATAACGCTACTGATCCCTCGGATAAATTTCTATCCAGTGGATATGGTGTGATAATGCCCTTTATTACATCCACTTTGAAATCACTGGCTATCCGTGCAATCTGATTGGCTCTCAGCAGTGTGATTTATTCCTAAATCGCACCATTTTTTGCGCTAAATCGCATCTTTTCCAAATCGCGTCATTCATGTTCTAAATCGCATCATTTCTGTTTTAAATCGCACCATTTTTGTTCTATATATCGCATCATTTCTGTTTCGAATACAAAATGAGATGTAAAAGCCTTTTTGTTTCGGCTTTTTAACAAACCGGCTACTCGATCAATAAAATATTAGTACTGACTAAATTCTGCGATTTCAAAATGGATGTAATAAAGTGGTAATTGAACTTCGTGTCGTGCAATTTTGGTCTGAAATCATACTTGTGATTTCAAATCAAACTCGCGCTGCGCGCTCGTTCGATTTTGAAATCACGCGTATGATTTCAGACCAAATTGCACTCCACTTAGTTCAATTACTATTATTAAAACTATGGAAAACTGAACCAAGCTTTAAAATATGCACAGGTAAATTTTCACATATAAGGGGTGTACATATTAGTTTATTGTTATTAATTCAAAATATTTTGCCGTAACCTAATTGGCTTTAATCCACTGGCTAATTCTTTATAAGCTGCTGTCACTGACCATAATTTGGAAGATGTAGGCAATACACCAAGTCTAACTAAGCTACTCTAAGCTAACCATACTACAACCAGCCAAAAAGAAAAGTGTGATTTTATCAGGGGTTTTCAAATGACGTCACCAACATTCAAACTAAGAAACTATCGATTCCTATGAGTTTCTACTTTCACAAGGTATTACAGCACCTAAAAACCTTTATTTACACAATTTTTCGGTTCCAAAGGGTTCTTCGTTTTGCGATAGAAGACACTTGAATTTTCAGGCTTTTGCACGACGCAGCATTTAGCGGACAGCGGGGAAAGCTCTTATGTGGGTTAAAAAGGTTACCTGATTTTTTGAGATTTTGGGATCTAAATGTCCTTGTCTAAGAATAAATATTACTTAAAACTTTATGAGTTCCTCAAGCGATGAATTCACACATAAGTAGGAAAACTCAAAAACAGATGTTTCTGTTGGTTTCCGGCGGCCATATTTGTGCCCACAAAGCCTTATAAATTTGGGTAAAACGTTTTTTTGAATATCTCAGATATGAATTATTGCACAGACCTGATTCGTGCTGAGGCTTTTTGTATATTTATCTTCTTTCATTTCCCAGATTCAGTGAAAACAGAGAATACGCTGATTGTTCACATCTGTAATGCTGAAAGAACCGCAGTTCTATTCGCTTGTTACAATAATTATTCAATTTCGACTCAAATATGAAAAACATATGAACTGTTTTGTAGTGGATTTCAGCCAGGGAAATACTAAAAATATCAAGCAGATTTGATTGGGCTTTATAGAGAGGGGGGCTTATCTGAGAGAGGAGTGGCTTTAGGACTTTGCACTAGGGAATATTAAAATATACAACTTTAACCGAGAGTGAGGTCATTACGGGGAAATCTCAGACCAAGTCCTTGATGTATTGACCAAGCAATAGCGAGGTCAATACATCAAGGCTTAGGTCTGAGATTTCCCCGTAATGACCAAACAGATGAGGTTAAGAAGTTCTTTATTATATGGCCTTTTCATTATTGACCTGGGCTAATGATTAATTAAAACCAACAACTTGTCAGCGGATAGAATAATGACTTATTAATGACTTATTAATGACTTGTTCACTCGAGTCCATGTTACAGACAGGTGACACTGGTCAGCAGATACCTTTTTGACAGCTGTCAATTGACCAGAACAGAGATGTCCATAAGGATGTCCAGTATCAAGTTAAACACAGATTGTATATGCCTTGGACACCTAGCTAGTAATGCCCAGTCAATACAAGAAAACAGCCCATCAGAGCATACATACTGTTGTAGCCATATGGTAAATTAGTTTGAGGTTAAGTATTATCAATAAAAATTATTATATTGTAATATCAGACATCACTTTGTGCAGGAACTTATTCATTAACTTTATGATTTATTGTCTTGACATTTTTGTCAAAATGATATAAATGCCTTCTTTTGTTTTTTGTTTTTCTCTTCTTACAACAGGAAGATGCAGTTGCTTTTGTGCACATTATTGGTGCCCTGATGGTGTTTTTATGTGGTATTGTCTACAGCTGGATTCAATCCTTGATCTCTTATAAGATGAAGGTATGTGGTCTGATAACCAGCACTCTACTGGTATTACGACTTCTCCTGACCATTGGAGCAACTGTCTTCTTTATTGCCTGTGCTGCAGCGACCTCCTATGCAAGTAAAGACTGGGTACGTTACCATGCCAGTGGTACTACATATCCACAAAGGTGGGATCCTAACGATAAAAACTACATTCATCATGTTGTCGGTGATGTGGCTGAGTGGCTGACAGCTTTGATGCTACTGGGATTCATGGCCAGTTTTTTTGGAGAGTACAGATTTGTGAAGATGAAGATTGTAGTGTCAAGGCGCACTCAGCAGTCTGTACCGCTTGCAACTGGCATGGGTTCAGATGATCCGCTGTACACGTCTCTGTATGTTTAAGTGTTACAAAACCATAGGATTAAGAAGATCATGAAAATACTGTTTTATAAGAATATATCAGTTGCATGACTGTAGGTGTAGACTAGGAAAATACACTGCAATAGTCCATATGGTTTTCAGCTATGTTAGGATTCAACTTAGTTTATAAATTAATANTTTCAGCCAGGGAAATACTAAAAATATCAAGCAGATTTGATTGGGCTTTATAGAGAGGGGGGCTTATCTGAGAGAGGAGTGGCTTTAGGACTTTGCACTAGGGAATATTAAAATATACAACTTTAACCGAGAGTGAGGTCATTACGGGGAAATCTCAGACCAAGTCCTTGATGTATTGACCAAGCAATAGCGAGGTCAATACATCAAGGCTTAGGTCTGAGATTTCCCCGTAATGACCAAACAGATGAGGTTAAGAAGTTCTTTATTATATGGCCTTTTCATTATTGACCTGGGCTAATGATTAATTAAAACCAACAACTTGTCAGCGGATAGAATAATGACTTATTAATGACTTATTAATGACTTGTTCACTCGAGTCCATGTTACAGACAGGTGACACTGGTCAGCAGATACCTTTTTGACAGCTGTCAATTGACCAGAACAGAGATGTCCATAAGGATGTCCAGTATCAAGTTAAACACAGATTGTATATGCCTTGGACACCTAGCTAGTAATGCCCAGTCAATACAAGAAAACAGCCCATCAGAGCATACATACTGTTGTAGCCATATGGTAAATTAGTTTGAGGTTAAGTATTATCAGTAAAAATTATTATATTGTAATATCAGACATCACTTTGTGCAGGAACTTATTCATTAACTTTATGATTTATTGTCTTGACATTTTTGTCAAAATGATATAAATGCCTTCTTTTGTTTTTTGTTTTTCTCTTCTTACAACAGGAAGATGCAGTTGCTTTTGTGCACATTATTGGTGCCCTGATGGTGTTTTTATGTGGTATTGTCTACAGCTGGATTCAATCCTTGATCTCTTATAAGATGAAGGTATGTGGTCTGATAACCAGCACTCTACTGGTATTACGACTTCTCCTGACCATTGGAGCAACTGTCTTCTTTATTGCCTGTGCTGCAGCAACCTCCTATGCAAGTAAAGACTGGGTACGTTACCATGCCAGTGGTACTACATATCCACAAAGGTGGGATCCTAACGATAAAAACTACATTCATCATGTTGTCGGTGATGTGTCTGAGTGGCTGACGGCTTTGATGCTACTGGGATTCATGGCCAGTTTTTTTGGAGAGTTCAGATTTGTGAAGATGAAGATTGTAGTGTCAAGGCGCACTCAGCAGTCTGTACCGCTTGCAACTGGCATGGGTTCAGATGATCCGCTGTACACGTCTCTGTATGTTTAAGTGTTACAAAACCATAGGATTAAGAAGATCATGAAAATACTGTTTTATAAGAATATATCAGTTGCATGACTGTAGGTGTAGACTAGGAAAATACACTGCAATAGTCCATATGGTTTTCAGCTATGTTAGGATTCAACTTAGTTTATAAATTAATACAAATAAAGTTTGAATCTCAAGACTTGAATATGGGCATAGTGCAGCATAGTCCCTAGCTGTTCCACCTCCGTTGAAAGTGGAATCTAGGAGATCAACTATGAACTAGGCTAGGCAAAGTCATAAAACTTGAGCAACTGACTGGTGAAGTGAATAGAAGAGAATCGTACATGATTGGTGAAGTTAAGTCACGTAAACCGATGGCGTGTCATAATAACGTTCTAGTTCAGTTTCTTTAAAAAAAAAAAACCAACGCACAAACCCACTCTAACCAAAACAAGAGGACCTAATAATGAACACTTTTACTAAAATGTTCACAATGGTCATAGGACCGTGTGCACAGATCTAACAACATTTTGAGCAATGGCAGAGCAGAAAATTGCACGGAAAGTTGCGTTCACTTTGCTTTTTTTATTCCCATTTGATGTTACTTAATGTCTTTGCTAAATCTGCCCTATACCCGGTAAAAGAAACCACTGAGAGGTTTTCCTTATGTATTTCGTCAAACAGTCACGGTCTTGATATGTTTTTTGCTTGTTTAATACAGGGTTCGCATACGCTTGAAAAGCCGTTGAATTTTAGGGGAAGTCCTTGAAAAGTCCTTGAATTCCACTTTTCCCTGAAAAGTCCTTAAATTTTCTTCAACTTTGAATGTAGTGGCCTGGAAAGAATTTTTTGATGCTTTTTGGTTGTCCAAGACAGAATATAAATCCTAGCTCAGAGAATTTAAAGGTTATTTGCATAAAGTGCTCTTTGTTGCAATAATTAACTATCAGTTTAAGACAAGTGGACTGAAAAATGTAGAGAAGTTGGTGAAGCAAACAGTTCAAGCCTTAGTGCACTTTTGTACAATCTGTGAAATTATATTCCTAGTAGGTGGTCCTTGAAAATCTAATGTGATCCTTGAAAAGTCCTTGAAAATTGGTTGCAATTTTTTGTATGAACCCTGTCATATGTCAAGTGGCTTAAAAGGGCATGGCTGTCTGTTTAGGGATATAGCTGATTGAAAAAAAATCTGTTTTTGCAAGGATTCACTTCTTCAGGTGTCAAATGTTAGGTTGGCGATTTTTATTTTGCCCTTACGGGGCTTTAAGTTAATATTGAATTGTTTGTAACTAAGTTATTTTTGCCTTAAAGGCGAGTGGACAGGTTTTGTTATGTTAGTGAAGATATGTAGTTTCAGTTGTTAATATCTATTGCCAAGATGGTTGTGAGTTGTAACTTATTAAAGAACATAGGTTTGTCATTATATCTGTTCAATAAAATAATCATCTGTCCTCATCTTATCCTGTCAGGCGCCAATCCGTACCGATTTTTAACATTCAAAGAAAACAAAACTTTTGGAGTTAAAACTCCGGAATTTTTGGGTGGGCATAAAGCGGACCTCTCTAGACTGAGCTTGAGGGTTCAACAAACCACGACTTACTCGACGGCGGTGAAAAGTCCTCTAGAATTCTCAGCAGGCGTTTTCAAGTTTCGAAATAGAAAGAATAAACCGTCGTCCTCCAAATAACGTCGCATCAGAATGTTTCACGTCGCCGTCTTGCAGTAACGGTAAACTGAAGAAACGTACCGAGTTGTTGTTTTATTTATAGAACGCATAAACTGCAAAAACGGATACGTTTGGACGGGGCCTATACAAATGCATGCACTAGCACCCTTACAAGCAGGGGCACCCAACGTCAATTTTCGGAAAATATCTGTTGGGAAGACGATTTGAGATCTAGAATTCTCGGAACATTTCTTGTAAAATTTCTTGCTTGCCTGCCTCTCCTAAGAATTTTCGAGCCCCCCAAAACTGGTATAAATGCACATTTTTAACGGATTTTTACCCTAAAAAGGTCACCTAGAATTTTTGGGAACCTTTTTGGGGCTGAAATTTTCGAAAAGGTAAGTTTTGATCCCTAGAATTTTCGGATCACTATACTTTCACCTAGGAAATCCAAACAGATGAAAAATTTTTAGGGGATCAAAATATGCCTATATCTAAAATACGTTTAACAATGCTATGTTAACGTTTAAGTGGTTTTGAACTATATTCTCGTTGGGTGCCCCTGTACAAGGCATGCATCCCTGCGCTGTACGATGTATGACCATCGTATTTAGTCGAAGACCTCCCATTTTCGTCTGTCCACACGAAAACGGTAAGTCGGCAGTTTTCGAAACACTCAACGCTGGAGACCGTTGTAGAGAATCAACGTTTCTGGTGCCCGAAAACGGCGTTTACGTTTGTGAACGGAAGGCTAACACGGAGAAAAAAATCTACGCTTTCCAAAATTTCCGCATAGAACACAATGATAGAACGTGTGGACGGGGCCTAATGGAATATAGGGTCACGGAAATTAACGCGCCATTAATTTGTCACCTATGATATTAGTAATTCGTCACCTATGATATTAGTTTTAAAATTCACGTTAATTTCATGAAGGATTAATTTTCTAAGATGACCGTAGTAAAGAAGTAATTAGAAAATGATTTAGTAGGTAATGCGCAAGCCAACGACCGAATGTTTCCAAATACACCAGAAGTGTCTCAGATGGTTTTCTCTATGCTTTAGAGGCCTGTGTGGTCAATTTGGAGTAGCCTGCGAGGAGAAACGGATGTTTTCGCGGGCTAAATTTGGAGCGGTTGCCCTAAAAACTATTTATCTGTCTGTTCGGATGTCTTAGGGGAACTTTGGTCGTTACGAGAGTTTTAGCTGGCTTTTTCGTCTCATCCGAAAGTGTTAGTTACCCTCGAGGATATGAAGACAAGTAGCCTTGTTTTCATAGAAAATTTGCATATTATAGGGGACGTTTTGTCTTTATACCGGAAGTTTTACGAGACCTTTTTTTAACAATAATCGCAATATCTTGATATTAAAATGTGAAAACACAACCTTCGGAAATCGTAGTTAAGCTATTAGAAAACCTTCGAATGTTTTAGACGAATGGAACGGTTATCCAGAAATTTTTAGCTTTTCTCAAGCTTTAGAAATTTCTAGGCAATCAGATTTACTCCTTCGAACAGTTATTTCAGGGGCACCCAACGACAATTTTCGCAAAATTATCTGTTCGGAAGACGATTTGAGGTCTAGATTTTTCGGATCATTTTCTGAAAAATTTCTTGCTTGCCTGCCTCTCCTAGGATTTTCGAACTTCAAAAAAATCGTATACTTGCCCATTTTTAATGGAGTTTTACCCTAAAAAGGTCACCTAGAATTTTCGGGAGCCCCTTTTCTGGCTGAAATTTTCGAAAAGGTAAATTTTGATCCCTATAATTTTCGGATCACTACACTTTCAGCTAGGAAATCCGAGCAGATGAAAAATTTTTAGGGGATAAAAATAAGCCTTTATCTACCGTTTAAATACTAAAGTACGTTCAACAATGCTATGTTTATGTGGTTTTGAACTATATTCTCGTTGGGTGCCCCTGTTATTTTACAGAATATAGTCGCTGGGTGCCCCTGATACAGCTTACCATACAAAACACTTCTGTACAACACATTCGTGCTCATTTTTATATCGTTATAAAATAATCCTAAGTGGGAACTCAAAAACATTTGACTATCTGACATGCAAAAACCACGTAAAACATGAGAATAATCGAGTGCATTTTCGTCAAATCAACAATTTTTCAGAATTCGTTGGTTCAGCTTAATGCCAGGGGAAAGCTGTGGAGATAATGTTTGAACAATTTTCGTTTTCCAATTTTCCCTAAGTAATTACGGATAGGACAAGTATTTGAACAGCTTCTTTTTTCCCATCCAAAGAAGAACTTGGGCTCAGTGACCGTGATGATCAGTCAACTTGTAACACGGCTGAATAAACATCGATTTCTCAGATACTCTGCAAGCTAAGGTTTCTTAAGCCTCAAAGGCCAACTACAGTAGAACCTCAATATAACGTACGAAAGCCAAGGGACTAGCAAAATAATATGTTCGCTTCATGTATAACAGTGGTACAACGAGGTTTCGTTTTGTCGCGGTTGTTTTTCATATATTTTACTATTTAGAATTGGAGTAAAGAAAATTGTTCATTATACCGAGAACTTAAACCTCTGTTCGCAGGGTTCGATCCCTATACGAAAGTTTTTTTACTTTTCGCACTTAACCAGGATTCTAACTTGGCAAGATTGAGTTCCCATTTTAAGATAACAATAAAACACTTAAGACGATATAAAAATATGTTGACTGCTACAATAAACCCAAATGAACATAACTCTTACTTTCCCCCTCCACCCCCCCCCCCCCCCAAAACAAAAAAATACCCAACTCAATTCCATAACAACAACACAAATCAACCATTCCAACCAATTCGAAAAACCTTATTACACCACACACTTCACATGCATATCGCATGACCCAAGGGGCTTAACCACCACAAAAAAAAAAAACACTTAAAACGATAAAAAAATAGGTTGACTGCTAAAAAAAACCCCAATGAACATAACCCTTACTTCCCCCCTCCCCCCCCCCCCCCAAAAAAAAAAAAAAAAATTCGTACGGCGTGCATTTATATACGATGACTATTAATGCCCCGTTCACACGAATCGGAACAGTTTTGAAACCCCATATCTGTTTACCGGATTCGTGTGGACTCAGGGCCTTAAACACCTCTGCAGAGCGGTTTCAAAAAGTACACTGGATGTGTGGATGAAGGACCGATTCGTTTAACAAAAGAGTATGCGACTTCATAAATATCGGGATTCTTTTAGACGTGGCCTAACAGTCGTCGAGACGTTATTACTTTTTTAACAATCTAATCGGAGACACCTAGAGGCTTAACGCCAACCACAGGCTTTTAAGCATTAAAATGGTCCTTAACGGAATAACAAAAACAATTCACTGACAATTGAATTGCATAAAATAATGACTTCTCAGGGAAGAAAAAAAGCACCTCTTCGAATTCCAACTCTGACATAAATTATGTGCGAATTCTAACATCGCGAGAGGATTGAGATTTAAGATCCGATCGATCTTAACTGAATATTGACTGTGACAATGAATATATTTGTGGCTCCAGTTTTCGCTCCTGACAATTGACGACTAATATATATGTTGTAGTTAATTTTTTATCTCAGGTAATTTCTCTTTTTCCTTTGTTTTTGGGTATGTTAATGTATGCTAATGGCGTTCAAACAAAAGAAAAAGAAAATTTACCTGAGAGAAAAAAATAACTACAACATATATATAATATTGAAATATTGACTGTGACAATAAACATAACTGTGACTTTCCGCATAATGACCAGTATTTTTGACAACTTGTATACATACTAAATATCACTTTAAAAGAGTCTGAATTAAAAGATTTAATCATCAATAGACCTTGTCACGGTTTTCGACGCCATATTGACGAGTAGGCAAACGTGTGAGAAATTACAGTGTTTGTATGAGAATCTGATGTCGAATAATTTCCGTAGAATGGCTGTTCTGAACAGAATATCAATTGTAAACTAAAGCTACAAAGCAAAGGATTGCCCTAAAAAAATTGGGGGGGCATACCTGTGCTTAAATTTCTCCAGAGGCTTGCTTTAGATTTTCCATATATTTGTCTCCAATTTTCCCGGGACTTTCTTACAGACAAATGTATAGAAAATTTTAAAAAGTGGTTCTAGGTCTTCTAGTGCATGTAACGCCCTCAAACTTTTTCAGGAGAATCCTCAGGAGTGAAGCTTTAGTTTACAAATCATATTTTTTTCAGAACAACCGTTCTATGGAAATTATTCGACCTTAGATTCTCATACAATCACTGTAATTTCTCATGCGTTTGCCTACTCGTCAAGATGGCGTCGAAAACCGTGACAAGGTCTATTAGTGTTCACTTTTCAACATTTAGTTTATTGCGTAAAACATGGACCCCTCCGGGTAGAAACAAGCATCTCGTCGAATTCCAAATTTCTGCTCTAGCTCTTCCACCACCGATTTCTCTCCACCTTCCAGCTCCTTTGCCTCTTTCTTGATTTTGTTGTCTCCTAGATACTTTGTAGTTAGGATTTTATTCCCTGCGATGGTCACTCTTCCCCAAGGCGTTGGTAAGGTGCATAGGCGTTCTCGTCTGAACCTGGGATCTGACTGTTGAAANTTTAGATTTTCCATATATTTGTCTCCAATTTTCCCGGGACTTTCTTACAGACAAATGTATAGAAAATTTTAAAAAGTGGTTCTAGGTCTTCTAGTGCATGTAACGCCCTCAAACTTTTTCAGGAGAATCCTCAGGAGTGAAGCTTTAGTTTACAAATCATATTTTTTTCAGAACAACCGTTCTATGGAAATTATTCGACCTTAGATTCTCATACAATCACTGTAATTTCTCATGCGTTTGCCTACTCGTCAAGATGGCGTCGAAAACCGTGACAAGGTCTATTAGTGTTCACTTTTCAACATTTAGTTTATTGCGTAAAACATGGACCCCTCCGGGTAGAAACAAGCATCTCGTCGAATTCCAAATTTCTGCTCTAGCTCTTCCACCACCGATTTCTCTCCACCTTCCAGCTCCTTTGCCTCTTTCTTGATTTTGTTGTCTCCTAGATACTTTGTAGTTAGGATTTTATTCCCTGCGATGGTCACTCTTCCCCAAGGCATTGGTAAGGTGCATAGGCGTTCTCGTCTGAACCTGGGATCTGACTGTTGAAAGACAAGCCGTTCATGGAAGTCCTCTGAGGTTCTTGGGATGAGGTCAAACTGGTATCGAGGCACCCAGTCGCTCAGTTTTCCACGCAAGGCCGCCTCCTTCTCTTTTTTCTCGTTACCCATTTCATCAACAACTACCTTGATTTTCTCTTCATAGACGTATATATCGCCGTCTTTTCGAATGCGATACGTTCCACTCCGTTGTTCTTGAGGGTCTGTCAAGTCGGCGAATGGAAGAGGCTCCCAGAAAGCATCTCCGAACCCAACATCAGTCAACCACAGCTGTCCCTCGATATCTACCGACAGAGTCACATGGTCCCCCGGATGGCCCAGCTCACCTGTGCCAATCTTACGATGATACACTTGAGCGGCGTGCGTCTGCGGTTTAAACCCCAAAGAGTCGAGAAGGAGAGAAAACATCGTGTTCAATTCGTAGCAAACTCCGCCTCTTCGCCTCCGCACGACCTTCTCGAAGAGCCATTCTTTGGTCAGGATTATTTCTTCTCTGCCATAGATGCTCAGGTTTTCAAATGGTACAGAAAAGATGTGACATCGCTGTAGTTCTTGCAAAGCTTTGATAGTTGCCTCTTTGGGTCCAGTATATTGGATACGAGCTAGATATTCCTCTACTTCCTCTGGAGTTAAATTCTCAACTTTCGTGGCCATGTCGTGACTTCGAAAACGTTTACTAAGTTGATGTATGCCGCGTAAAAAGATAGGAAGGAATTAATTCATGGGTTTTATGTATGGTTTCTTAACAAATTCATGGACCATACATCATATTTCCATAGTTCTCGACCAATGAACGCCAAAGAAACCACCTAGTTATTGTAAACAAGCCTATAAGGGCTTTCCAGCAAAGTTCTTTGTATTGACGTCAAAATGTTTACCGTTGGTTTGCCTTTGGGAGCACCTTTTTGCGGTTCTAGCAACCTCGGCAACTTTTGCCTTTCTGAGCAATTTTGGCCAAAAGATTGGTTTAGAGCGTGACATATCAAACACGAAAAAAAAAAAAACTACGATTTCACAGAAAACTTAAAGTTATGCGAATTTCTTGAGTGATTATCAACCTAAAGGTAAGCTTAAAAGGAAAAATTTAACGCTTTGATCAATTATAGAAAACAAGAATATTTCTCACACAACGTGCTAGAATTTATAGTCGTTACCATATGAATAATTACTTAGCTAAGTAGTACAATCTTGTTCAGGGCTCTCATAGTGAACATGGGGTACCTGTGGTTTCGCTCATACTTTTGCGAGCAAATCTATTTTTCTTGGGAAGAACGGAGAAAAAAGCTTTTAATTAACGTATATATTTAAAATATCAAGAAATTTACGTAGCAATTTTTGACTAGTACTACGTCCAAACTAACTTTGTGATATGCAGACATCAACACAACACCGATATAAGTTGTGGCTCTTCAGGATGGCGCAACAACAGACAGGACAACGAAGCTCAGCTGAGAAAATACCTGCTTGTGGCCCGTGGGTAGGTTGGTTCGGGCCATCCTTCTTTGCTTTACTTGAAAATTTGAACAAATGTGCGTATGATGCGTACTCGAATGGATTTTATTTTCTGAGGAAAGGAAGGACAGAAATATTTATTCAGCTTAGCTTTAAATATTGATCAGGTTTTATAAGAAAACGAATACAAGGCTTTTGATATATAGAGAGAAACAGAGATTCGTTCCAGTGTTAATTCTCATGAAGTGTCCTACCAAGGAGGCGCTTTTGTTTAAAGAGTTTTTCTTTTTCGTTTTCGTTTTCAAATTTATTGATCATGTTTTAACTACATTATGACATCCATTATCCTTCTCTCAATAAACTCAGGAAAACGTTCATAAAAGTAGTGAAAACGTGTCATTTTGCTTTTTTACGGATAAAAAAGATGTAGCCAAAAACGTATGCAGGAGGTTTGGAAAAAGTAACCGACTTTATCAAAAGAGGCATTTACTCCCCTTCTAGAGGGGTCTGGGGGTCTGCACTTCTTGTCGACCTTGTCATTTTGGGCATCAAAATTTCGAAATTTTGATGCCCTAATTTTGATTTCCACTCACTGCGTTCCGGGCACTAAATTAAGAACAAAAGAGAGTGTATTCTTGATCAACTATCAATAACCTGACAATTGGCATTGGCTTACATGTAGTGGGTGTACGGACGGTCGTTCGTGTGCTTTCGTAAGCTACGTCATAACCAAATTTTCTCGGATAGATAGTTTACCAATTTTCTCACCCATGGTGCTGCACTGGCGTGCTTCGCGCGCGAGACCTCCGCTATCAAATTTTTGATCAAGTCTGAAATAGGGTAGGGAAAATCAAAGATTTTGGACTGAAATAGGGTAAGGGTTTCAGGAAGCGTGCCGCACACCCCCTCGTGATATGGCGTGATTCGGTGGGTGCTGGAGTTCAATGTTAGGGCAGAGTGAGTGGGTATTTTCTCAGCAGACCTTCTTTGTTCTGTCTCTTGTTGCGCGCCGTCCTGGCTAGCCACGGAGAAACAGCCGTCGACCGCTGTACCCCCGCTCTGTTTTGGGTTCTATCGGTGTCGTGTTGATGTCTTGCAAAGTTAATTTTCATGTAGTACGATCAGTATTGCAATGTTTCTACCAAACCAATAAAAGCCTACGCTCCCCTCTCCCCTCCTTCCCCATGAGAGGGAACTCGTCCAATGAAACCAAGATGGCGGCAAAACTGAGCAAAGAAGAAGCCGAGGAATATTTTACTCGTATAAACTATACAGGATCAAAAGAACCAACTGTCGAGGTGTTGACAGAACTACATCGATGTCATATCCTATCTGTACCATTTGAAAACCTGAACGTTTATGGAAAGGAGAAAATAGAGCTCTCTAAAGAATGGCTGTTTGAAAAGATCGTGCGAAGACATCGAGGTGGATTTTGCTTTGAACTAAACACGATGTTTTCTTTCCTTCTTGATTATCTCGGATTTGAATACACAACACATGCTGCCTCAGTGTTAGATAGGAAGACAGGCGTTCTAGGTCCACCGGTTGAACATCGCGTTCTTATGGTAAAGTCGGAGGCGAGTTTTTGCTCACCGATGTCGGGTTCGGTGATTCCTTTTGGTTGCCTCTTCGTTTCACTGGCTTACAAGAACATCAAGAACAACAGAGTGGCACTTATCGAATTCGAAAGAGCGGAGACGACCATATCTATGAAGAAAAGATGAAAGTAATTGTCGATGAAACTGGCCAAGAAGAAATTGAGAAGGTCGAGCAGAGTACAAGTCCCGAGGATCCGAGGTGGGTCCCGATATACACATTTGACCTCATACCAAGAAAAACGGAGGACTTTTTTGAAATGTTAGAGTATCATCAGACAAATGACAAGTCACCATTTACTCATGATCGTATATGCACCGTGGCGAAACCCTGGGGAAGGGTAACTCTTTCAGGCCATAAAATTGTAATTACAAGTTTTCTTGGGGACAACAAAGTCAAGAAAGAATCCAGGAACGTTGAGGGTGGTGAACATGAAGTAGTAAAAGAACTGGAAGAAGTATTTGGAATTAGAAAAGACTCTTGTTTCTTCCCAGAAGGGTAGGCCTTTTATGGCTGGCTTTCACTAGCAATAGAGTAGGAGTCGGAAGCAGCGTCGTAAGAGCGCTTATGAGTCAGCAAAAAAAAAACGGAGTTGCATGCAGAGTCATAAACTCGACAGAATCGGAGTCGCAAGAATCAGAACGTTCCATTTTCTTCTGACTCCTCTTATGACTCCATTGCTTACAATCTAGTGAAAACCAGATTGTTGGAGTCAGAAGCAGAAATGGAAGGATAAACCAATCACAACGACGTTCCCATGCTATGTGATTGTTTTAGTTTTTCTGCTTCTGCTTCTGACTCTGACAACCTAGTTTTGACTTGATCGTAAATGATGGATTCATAAGCGGAATCAGATCACTGTTTTCACCTGATCGTAAATTTCTACGTTTCTGATTACAACTCCAACTCCATTGCTAGTGAAAACCAGCCTTCAACTGGATTGAATGGTACGTTGTGTAAACTTCAGTTGAATCACCTTTGAGTGGCCATCTTTTAAGCAGCTACCCTCTACTAAGGAGCCAGTAATAAAAGTCCCAAAATAATCGTAGAACATTATGGGAACTTAAACCTCTATTTAGTGGCCACCTTTTGACCATCCCAATCAGAGTTCTTTCATTGTTGTCACCTCTAGTAGCAGCCATCAATCCCTTGATACACTTAGTTTGCCTTTGCTTTAAGAATATGGTTAAGGAAATACAGTCCGAGATAGAAGGTGATGACTGATTGTTTGTTGATGAGCACTGCTGCTCCACTCGCGTAATTGTTTCAAAGCGAAGTGATGTTTCTGCTAACAATTATGATAATTTATGACGAGAATGGCTACAGAATGGCCAACCTCCATTTAAAAGAGGCCACTTGCCGGTCCCCCAAGGGTGGCTGCTTAATGATGGGTCAGCTATAATAATAGACAACAGCATTTAAAAAGTGTGTCAAAGTGACTCAGAGAAAACAGTGGGGATAGTGAAACACTTGAAAACCATCAACAGATTTAGGGGTGGGTTGAAGGGGTCAGCAGCCCCTCTTTGTGTCGGATTTATGTTATACCTCCAAAATCTTATTGTAAAATCTCCTTTTGAGAGCCTCAACATTCATGCTCCAGAGTTCTTTAACAAATAAAATGATGCAATGGAACCTCAATATAACAAACCTCTTTACAACAAAGTCCTTAGTATAGCAAACAATATTCTATGCCCCAGTAATAGAACTTCAATATAGTGACACTTATGCTGAACAAATTTTGCCTTTACTGCAGTCAATTTATCTAGTTAAATTTTCCTTTGGGACAGGACATTCGGGACAGCAAGATTAATTATACCAATGTAGAGGGGCACCTTTCAAGACTCTGCTTCCTAGTTAATTAATGCCCTTCGATACGGCAAATATTAGAAACTGTAGCACTTTCAAAGTATATATACTGTCAGAAAGTTAA